CCCCCGTGCTCTTGGACTACATGTCATAAATTAGACCTAAGACATTTACTTTAGCACAATCAATATTTGGATAAGCCAATTGAGGTTTTGAATAATACTCAACAATTTATTGTCACTGAATGATTTACTAAATAAAACAAGTTTGCTAGCAACTCTGAAAATAATAAAAATCAGGGATAAAGACAATATATATAATACCGAAATATATTTCAACAACTCGTAGTTCAATGTCTGCAATTGCAGAAAGTATTATCTTGTACCAATATAATTTCATAATTGACCATAAGGAAAGAAGAAAACTATAGTGGTGGAGCAAGGATTTTCATGCTATCTAGCTAGTGTGGGATTCAACAAGTGTACAAATAAAATGATATTTCACCTATATACACAATACAGTGTTTTGGCAAGAAGACCATTAGCACTAGCAATAAATTGAGCCCATTAAAGGTTTCATTAGTACTCTTCCTAATATCTAATCTATGTCAAGATTTTCCTCCTCGCATTAGCCTCAATCTTTGGGCTTGTCTTTAGTAAGTAACAACTCAGGAAAAACTCCCTCGGAACTGACACCAGCATTGCTTTCTACAGTAATTGTAGTTTCATTATTGACCTCTTGGACAAAAGATCCAACTGTTTCACTATCAGTCAATAAGACAGTGCTCTGGAAACTGCTCTCTAGTTCTTCATTACTGGAACTTGCATGAGGCATCCCATTGGGTATACCAGCAACAACTTCTAGAAGTTGCTGAACTCCATTTCGAAAGCCCAACCCATTTCCAGAAACAACTATGTTATTGACAACATCCATCATGCTCTATAATGTTTCAAAATTTGCAACCACAATTTTGCATGTCAAAACCACAAACACAAAATGCCTCATGAGTCATGATTAAAACATGTGTTTTTAAAGTATAATCAAACCCCAACAATAGGCTCTAAAGAAATGCAATCTCATACTCTAAAAAACAACCAATCTAATAGAAAACAAATTGTATATGGAGTATTACCAAAGCAATGCTACTACCACAAAAAGCTCAACTTTCAAAAAATTCGTACTTAAGAACACTACAAACTCTCATCTAATACTTCAATCACTTTGTTCTTCAAACAAACTAACAACACACAAATCAAAACTCGGGCTTTGCATCAAGTCAATACCATTTCATACTGAGCAGAGAAACAAGGTAAAATCACCCTACAAATCAAGCCTTTCCATCAATTACAATCCAATTCCAATTATGATGTGGATCTTGGGTATCCATCCACTCTATCAAGTTCATCTATGCAAAGTCTCAGCAAATGACCACAAACAAAGAACTCAAAAACCCAAATCCAAATACAGTACCAAAACATGACAAAATCAGTAGACCGACCCATACTCTACTTAGATCTCCAACCCCAGTAAAATTGTCCAAATAACAAGACAAATGTTCTTAGATTGACTTCACAATGCAAGACAATCAACCTTAAGTGATGCAAGCAGATGGCTAACCTCTTTCATTTTCTCAGCTCTTTCATCACACTTGAAACTGATATTATAGGTTGGAAGAGTACCTACTTTGCAAGGTTTGGCATCTGATGCAGCAGTAGGACTGCTATGAAGTGATCAAGGATAAACTGAAAAACTTGTATTATGCTAATAAAAATAAGAACTCCAAATCTAAGGAGTGAAGGAAAAAAGAAAGATTTGACGCATTTAGGATACGAAGATAGCATGCATGCTAGGATTTATGTCTTTTTGTACTTTCGCCTAGTACAATGATCAAAGATAAAACATGTTTGACAACAAATGTTAGTAAAACTGCAATTCAGTTAAAGTTAGCAGCAAACCATGCATGCATACCTCCAACACAAAACATATATGAACTCCACATGTTTAAGAAATAGTTAGATATTGTATGTAAAGTGACTCGCCTAACCTCCAAGTGATTCACCAGTAATTCTATCCTTGACGAGTCAATATCTTCCTTCTCTGTAAGATATAATCCGCCAGTTTTATCAAGTCCCACACCTTCAAAATTTGTAGAGAAGTATTATTTTCAGAGGCTAGAATGCTAGATATTAGATAATAAGTGCTGCAGTATGAGACGAAAACTATACTTTATCAACAAAAAATCTCCATTTCCTTACAATATCATATATGAATGGCATTGTATCACCTTTTTTCCATGAAAAAGTAGTAAGGCAGATCACCTCAATCAAATAGTAGCATCCAAGCATTCAGCGAAAGAAAATAGTACAACAAGTTCAGCTCTTGATTTTTCCTCCTCCTTAATATGAAGCCAATAACAGGGTATTAAGTACTCTCCCATATTGTTTATACTCCAAATAAGCAAAGTACTTGTACAGGCACAACAAAATGGATACTTCAAAACAAAAAGGCCAAAGGTTTTGCTACTAAATGTAGAATAATTGTACATACTACAAATTTAGGTCAGTTGACCAAAAGCCTATTGGACCTGGGTGTACTTTTTTGTATGAGAAAATAACCAAGAGTAAAACTGAAGCAAAGAGCAAATGCACCTGTTCTTACATCACGATATGTTGTCATATTAGTGTCCATGGGAGAATCAATTGCTACAACTATGTATCCCCTCGAAGCATATGCCTGAATACAAAAAAGAAAAAAGAGAATCGTACATAGAATTGTCATTCATTGCTTCTGCTCGATGGTAATATGGGGAGTACTTTTAAGAATGGCCGTAACCACTCTTTACATTTGTTTGTACTATGCAGGAAGACAATAGCTAGCCTCTTTTTCTTATCGGTTTCCTTCATCCTTAATACCAAGACAGGCAACTGCCCTTGGTCTTCTTCCTGGAAACAGTGAGTTCATGTTCAATACTTATAGCTGGAGACATTGAGAACATTACATCTGAAAAATGAGTATTCCCACATTTATCTTCATTCAATAAATCAGATACTTTTTGAAATGAAATATATATAATTGAAGCAACCACTTTATTTGACTGCTATGCTCAATGTTTTAAAATTATCGCAGAACCACTTCATAGCGAGCATCAAATTCAAAGAGTTGAAAAGAGATAGAGGGTAAACAATTTTATACCTCGCAGGCTCATTGTAGCGCATAATTTATCAATGTTGACAATTTTATCCCCTGATTCCAAGTCCACAAGTAAATCTCTCTTGCATATAACTGTTGCACGAATCAAAAATAGATAATTTTTATAAATAGATGTTATAGTTAAAATGAAATGCTAGAACAAAGACTACTCTGCTGAAAAGATCAAAACATGCTGCTGTGACATGTTCTAAGATGTAGAGGGTGCTACACGCCTTCTTCTCGATGGAATCAACTGCAGCCAATTCATGGTCATCTATGTATTCGACCTCCGGAGTTCTCACTGTGTCAGAAGTTGACATAGATTCATCCATGGCGACTCATGATCCATCTGAGTGAGATGGAGAAATGTCCATGTTGGAAGTTGCAGGAAAATGGCAGTGATCTTAGGCACAACTGCATCACTTCTTTGAATAGAAACAGGTTTTGTTGCTTGGCAGAACAACATTACTGTTGCAACTAGAAATGTTCTTCTTAAAGCATACAATCTTGGATGTACATGGTTGCCTTCCAAAGAGAAAAATGATTCCAAGTTAGTCACAACTTCAAATACAAGAAGCAATCTTTTTCAATTCACTTACATTGTAAAACAACTTATTAAGCAAAAGGTTCATAAAACTGTGAAAACTCAAAATTATCAAAAGTTGCCATGTTACTGTTTCAAAATAAAAGAAAAACAAAAGATGTAGTAATATATTAGAAAAAGAAAATAGAAGGAAAGAATAGAAAAACATTAGCTGATTTAGGATATATGACTGACCGATGACTACAACAAATATATTTCAAAGGGTTGCGAGTGATCCTTGAGTTGAAAGTAGTGTCCATCAATGCTTTGAATGGATAGGTGTTCCAAAGCAATGCAAAATCTAGAACACCGTCATCCGCCCAGCTGATATATTGTGGCTTTACTGATCTAGGAGATGCAACACAAGGGGAAAAAGATATACAATGGACCTGATCATAAAAGATCAGTTCTGGCAGCTCTTCCACTTGGACATAATGCTTCGTTGGGCTTCCTGACTGATATGTCGATGACTACATTTACTTTAACAAAATCAGAAATTCAATACAAAAATATTGAATATGTACATAAGGAAAGGGTGCTAGGAATGCAAATACCTTCGACTTCATTGATAGTTCAAGTGCATGTGGAGATGCTCCTAGATGCACAGGGACATCATCTGCCAAAAGAGAACTGGATCAGCAAAATGTTTCTAATACACGGTTCAATCAAATATCGTTGTTGGTCGTACCATGATCTAATCCAACTTCCTTGAGAAAACAACTCATGTCCATGGCCTTTCTCTGTGCTTTGAGGCAATTCTAATTCTGCAACAAAGGACGACTTAGTTGAGTTTGTAAGATCAGCTAGTGCTTTCCTGCCACCCTTTTTCTCCAAAACTTTAGAATAATTATCTCTTTTTTTCCAGCACTAAATTTGTTTCTAGAGGAATCAAGATCTTTCCCTCACATTTGCGGAATTATTTTTCTTTGATGCTTGTAGAGCAGAAGGCTTTGAGATATCATTAAGTGCTTTCTTCCACCAATCTCTCCTCCTCTTTTCTTTGAGATACCATTATTTCCCACCAGAGAAGCCCCTGCTAAGAAATAGTATATCACACTAATGTATTTTCCAGTTGTTAGATGAAATTTGTATCATTATAGTGTATACTTATATTCTGATCTTGAATCAGGTAAGCTGATGTTGTAGCCATTCCTCTCAACAAATCATAGTTGTGGTTCAAACATTAAATTTAAAGGTGATGTAATGAAAACCATAATAGAAGCAGAGTAACAATAAACGACAAAGACAGACTATGATAACAACAAAAAAATTGAGACTTTCATCCTAAATTCTTGAAATCGGAAACCCCCATCCCCCATCCCTCCCATTTTCAACGATCAAGAAATTTTACAATTAAAACCAAAGGTTCATAGTAAACCCAGAAATCTTAGTGAAGTACAAAATAATAGAAAGAACAGAAATGAAGCAAGAAGGAAACATCAGTCACGAAATTAGAATTTTTGTACGGCTGAAATATAGATAGAACACTTACATAATTGATTCGACGAACTATGATTTTCAGTCTTGTTTACAAGTTTATTCCAAAAACATTTCAGTAATTCCCCACCCCCCACCCCTTCCATTTTCAACCATCAAGAAATCTAACAATTAAAACCAAAAAATCTCCAAAATAATAACCAGAACAGATTTGAAGCAAGAAGTAAACATCAATAAAGATAGAAAACTCACAAAGTTGATTCGACCAACTAAGATTTTCAGTCTTGTTCAAAAGTTTATTAGTAAATTCTTGAATTCGGAAACCCCCACCACTACCCCTCCCATTTCCAACGATCAAGAAATCATACAATTAAAACCAAAGGTTCATAGTAAACCCAGAAATCTCAGTGAAGCAAGCTTGAAATCGGAAACCCCCACCTCCAGCCCTCCCATTTTCCATCAAGAAATCTTACATGTAAAACTAGAAATCAGATGGAAATATCTTAAATTGTTGAAATCGGAAACCCCCAACCCCCACCCGTCCCATTTTCTATCTAGAAATCTTACAAGTAAAACCAGAAATCACAGTGAAGCAAGCTTGAAATGGGAAATCCCATTTTCAACCATCAAGGAATCTTACAATTAAAACAAGAAAGAACATCAATATCAATACAGATAGAAAACTCACACAATTAATTCGACGATTTCTTCTTTCTTGCCGATTTATTAAAATTCGAATTCCAAAAGGGAAGCTTCAGGGATTGCGAGATATAGAGACATAGCTCATAGGTCACTAATGACAATCTTACAATTTAAACAAAAAAAACATCAATATCGATGATGACAATCTTTCTTCTTTTATTCCAATTTTTTTTTGTGTTTTAAAGTTGCGAAAGAGAAGCTTTAGAGACGTTGGGCAATGCTCATATTTCCCCCCACTATGTACTCACTAGAGAAAATTCAATAAAAGATGTCAATTTTTAAACCCATTTAAAAATTTAATTAAGTTAATCTGGGATCAAAAGCATTTTCAAAACATTCCAATCTTTTATAAAATACAAAAAGACACTACATTTTCAACTACTTTAATTCTATTCAAACCATTTAAACAAAAAATAAAAGAAATATAATTTTCTCTCTTCTCTTCTCTTCTCTTCTCTCCAACGTTCTTCTCTTCTTCTCCTTCCTTAGAAAATCCGACTATCAACCAATATTCTCCTCATTATATTCTTCCTCATCTCCGGCTGTCACTCTCATTCTGAACTGAAGGTCGTGTTCGACTTAAAACGGGTAAGTTATTTTTTGAAAGATTTTACAATTTTTGAACAACACACTCTTGATGGTAGGAACATTTGATTCATCTGTAGCAATAGATAAGTCATATGTAGCAAAAAATGCCTTATCTGTAGCAACATTTGACTCATATGTAGCAACACATGGGTGACTATAGCAACATTTGAGTCACATGTAGCTACAAATGGGTGATATGTTGCAACATTTGGGGAATCTGTAGCAACATTTGATTCATCTGTTGCAACATATGATAATTTCGGCAACTATGTTTATTTATTTCGACAATATGATAATTTTAATGGTTGCACACAACTACATAAGAATTTATCATCCTTCACACTATTCTTGGTAATGCTTAGAAATAGAAAAAAGACCACAACAATCAACACGAAGATTAGCTTCCAGTTGTTACAACATTTGGTCTTCTTCTTCTCCTTCATTACCCATTTTTGTTACTTCTTTTAATATGACTTTCATCATCAATTTCCAACTCCTTATTTCTCTTTGCCAACCTCAGAATAATTAACTTGGATTGTATATCAACATCTTCACGATCCCTCCATCTAAAGAAGTTGCATGCATTCTCCTAAAATACACCACAAAAAAATTTAAATTAAACAAAAACTAAAATAAAGACAAACAACATATCTCCATACCAAGATGTAGAAATGTACTTACACGATAGCGTGGACAAGACCAAAATTTTCGATCCATGAAGTTTCCATTGAAAGTAAGTCTCCATGTTTGAGCAGATTTTTCACACCCAACATGGGATCATTCTCATCATTACAAATTCGATTCATTATTACATTTGACATTATAATAAAACTAACAAAAGCAAACAAAACTCATTCATGAGATCTCTGGTACTATGCTATATTTAAAGAAATTCATTCTTACCTAATGGCTATATTGTAAAATTAATGATTTCATTGATTTGACAGTACATGACAGATGAATCTCTTATTTATGGATTTGGTTTAATCAAACCAATTCGTTGCGTGTTAAAAAACAAAGAGCAGAACAGACTGTTGAGATAAATAACATCATTATATCACATGCACTCCAGAGATCCCTGCACTCCATCACATAAGATAAATGAAAAGAGAAAAATGATAGGAGAGAGAGAGGAGACAAAAAGAGAAGAGAGATAAAGCGAAGCGGAGAACTCGAAGCGGCGAGGAAGAAAATGAAATGAAAACCCTATCTTATCTTGAACAACTTAAATTATTTATATCCATTCTAGAAATGAAATAATGGGCCGATTGGGCCACTTTTAGGTTGGGCTTGCCCATGACTTTTATAAAGCTACATTTTTTGATCTGTTGCAACATATGTCAATTATGTGTACATGCAAGTAGTATCACCATTAAGAGAGAAATTCAACCACATAATTTGGCAAACATAAATATAAATATAAACATGGGAACATACTATTGATAGTGACATGCAAGTAGTATCATATCATTAACAAAAGAGAAGGCTAGGCCCAGGCTACATAGAAGCAGCATCCATATTTACAAAGACATTAAAGCCAACAAGAAAACCAAAATTTACATTTGAAACGCTCTAGCCCTATACTACTTCTTCAGCCAACCAAAAAAAGGACTTGATTAGAGGATTCAAAGTCAACATTGAGCGATTAAACCTGGAGGGGCATCAACATTCTTTCTTGAAGGGTGGTGGATCAGAGCTACCCATGTACTCTGTCGCAATGCCACCTATAGAAAAAACAAACAATCACAGTGAGCTACCCTTATACTCCGTCGCAAGACCACCTACAGAAAAAACAAACAACCATAGTGAGTTACCCATGCACTCCGTCACCAGACAAGACATTATGATATAAAGAAAGAAGACTTACCAAATGATGAAGCTACCCTCCATTAGACAAGATTCGAAAAAACAAACAACGACCATCACTCATGCACAGTGAGAACACAGTTGAAAAAGATATTATATTAGCTGAGAACAACATAATTACATTGATCGACCACAACAAGAGCATGTAGAGACTTAGATTCTTCCAAGGTGGCAACATCTTCTCATGGAGATTTTGAGTGGAGAGAGGAGGAGAAAGAAGGGAGAAATGAAAGAAAATAAAAAATGAGAGCTTTGTAAATTGTGAATTAAGGGAACCTAAAGGTTAATCTTTTTATAATGAGTGAGAGTGAGACATGAGGAGCATTATGGGCCGCTAATTGTAGTTGAGCCAGTTATGGGTTGGGGAACAATTTGTATCCTGTTGCAACTTCTTCCTATTCTATTGCAACTTCTTAATATTTTGTAGCAATTTCAACACAAAATCAACCAGATTATCAAACAGAATGTACATATGTTGCCACAGATGCCAATTTGATGGATGTGTGAATCGATAAATTAGGTAATTTAATAATAAAAAATGCTAAATTGGACCTTATTTTATTAAATTGGACCATAATTAAGCAAGAAAAAAGAAGATATAATACTATGTTCAACGATTTCCTATGGTGCTATATAACTATCATATAGAATTACTTAGTCACTGGATAATGAACTAGTGGTGTATTAGTATTTGTAAAAATAATTGATAAAATTGTATTAGACCATAATTTTGTATTTAGACATGTTATATGACTATATATTAGGGCAACATGTTGTATTAGGTCACAAATTGATTGAATAAATACCAAAAACCATACATGAGGTTAGACATATGTTGCAACGTATGCATATTCTGTGGAAATTTCAACACAAAATCGACCAGATTATAATCCAACATAATGTATATATGTGTTCATAGATGCCAATTCGATGGATGTGTGAATCGATAAATTAGGTAATTCAATAATAAAAAATGTTAAATTGGACCATAATTAAGCAATAAAAAATGTTATAACACTATGTTCAATGATTTCCTATGGTGCTATATAACTATCATATGAAATTACTTAGTCATTGAATGATGAACTAGTGGTATAATAGTATTTGTAAAAATAATTGATAAAATTGATGAAGTTTGTTGTATAAGACCATAATTTTGTATTTAGACATGTTATATGACTATATATTAATGTTACATGTTGTATTAGGTCACTATTTAATTGAATTAATACCAAAACCCATATGTGAGGTTAGACATATATTGCAACATATGCATATTTTGTGGCAATTTGAACACAAAATAGACCAGATTATCCAACAGAATGTACATATGTTACCACAGATGCCAATTCGGTGGATGTGTGAATCGATAAATTAGATAATTTAATAATAAAAAATATATTAAATTGGACCATATTTAATTATATTGGACCATTTAGCTTGTAACACCTCACTATTTGAAAGAACTAGAAAGAATTAAAATTTGGAAGAAACCATTTTCTTTAAATAATCAAATTTGGAAAGTTTGACAACATTAAGCTAAGGATGAGTTTTCGGTCAACTTCAAACGACCATATATCCTAACTCATGATGATTTAGGTGTTCTAACAAATATTGTAGAAAATATCTTTGAATTATCTTTCCAACGCCGCCAAATTTTCTCAATTTCGAGTTCGTATGATGGAGATATGGCCATTCAAAGCTGGGCAAGTGTTCTATATCTCGGCAAGTTATAGGACAGTTCTGGCAGCGTGGGTGAAACGATGTATCATCACATTAGCTCATAGTGATGGATTTCGGTTAGAGAAACTCCCATAGAATTATATTACTTTATATATAAATATAAATTGAGTTGTTATTGTATTTCTTTAACACATTGAGTTGCAACCTACTGTTTTAAATGCCTTACATAAACTGCATTTTTACTGTTGTTTATTTCTACATTGAGTTGAGTATTCATGAGTCGAGTAAATTTGAGGTAAGTGTCTCTTTCAGTATTCATTCAAGCTTATGTCGTGTTTAGTTTTCTCCTCGCATGCTCGTACATTCAATGAACTAATGTCATTTGGCCTGCATCATTTTATGATGCAGATACATGTAACCATGATCAACATCCACTGCCTCGTTGATCCAGTTGAGCACTCAGAGTCAGTTGGTGAGCCTCCTTGCTTTCTGGAGGATCCCTTTGGTTATGTTTTGTTTTATTGCTTTTGGTTATTTTAGTTGTTAGGATGATCGGGGGTCTTGTCCCGACATCCCTCTTAGTATCTAGAGGTTTCATAGACATTTAGATATGAGTTCTTTAGTCTTGATATTTCAGTTGTTTGATTTAAAGACTTGAGTTGCCATTTTGGCTAAGTTGAATGTTATATTCTGAACATTCTCAATTTATCTATTGAGACAGTTTATTTAAGATTGTGTTTAAGTACATTTTCTATTGAGTAAGTCTTCCGCTGAGAGTCTAGCCAAACCAAGGGTTCGCTTGGGGCCAGCAATGGTTCTCGAGTGCCAGTCCCACCTAGGGTGTAGGCTTGGGGTGTGAAAAACTTGGTACTAGAGCTTAGAGTTCAAGAGTCATAGGGAGTCTATGAAGCCGTGTCTATAGAGTCCTAATTATCGGTGTGAAGCGCGCCACATCTATAATTACGAGGCTGCAACATTTAGTAATTTCATTCACTTCTTTCATACTCATTTC